AAAAAAAAAAAAAAAAAAAAAAAAAAAAAAAAAAAAAAAAAAAAAAAAAAAGAATAGAGATGAAAAATATCAGCAGCATCATCAGCTTTGCTTACACAGCATAAAAGAGAAAAGAGGAGGAATACCGTGATACTGTAGTAAGAGCAAAAGAACAGATATAATATCTGTGTAAGCTGCTGCTAGCGGAGATTATGATGTTGGCCCGTTTGACCAGGCATTGCATTGGCACTCAGACGTCGCCGGGCTGCCAAGTTAATGACAGCTTCAAGTAACGCTGCGCTCCCATTCCCATTCCCGATTCCAGCTTCGGCTTTGACTTTGACTCTCGTGGCAATTAGTTAAGGCAGCGGCTGTACGCGGCGTATACGTAATATGGCTATATATCATCGCCTGTGCATGTGTGTGTGTGTGTGTAGATGATGAGTGCTGAGTGGCGGTCTGGCAAATAATTGCTACTGTTCATCAGCGTCGTGAGTTGCCAACATACATGTAATTAAGATCGAGCCAGCTTGGGCTGGAGGTAGCACCTCGTAAAGGTCACTCTCTTGCGCTCTCTGTTACTTCCGCTCTCGCTCTCGCTTTAAATTTCTTCCGCTCAAAGTGTACGCATTTAAAATGCAATAATTTAATAAGACAGAAGAACAACAGCAAAATTAATGAAAAATATTGTGCATTTGTGCATAACTTGGCACAATTATGAAATACTTGAAAGGTTTCACGCATAACCGGTTTCGCGCAACTCTACAGAAACTTCATAAATAATAATGAAGGATAATGATGATGATGATGTTGCAAGCAGTCAGCCAGGGGCCAGAGACCGCTACAGCATGCCACGCCACGCCACGCCACGCCAAGCTGGCTAGCCGACGAGTCAGAACAGTCCGTCGAGTCCAGTCCCCTGCTACCGCTGCCACCTCCCCACCGCCCCTATGAGCTTGGGCCTGAAAGTGCCGCCAAGATTTATGCATGTAAAAACTCTGTATGAAGATAAATACAAAGTCTTGGCACAGCGCTACAACTGAAATCCTTCGAAACGACGCAAACGTAATGGGCATGGGGGCATGGTCATGGGATAGCACATTGAGGGTGTTTACGTGGAAAAATGGCATTACAGTGGGCTTTATTTGTCAAGATTAATTACAAAACTTGCTTTAAATCATCATTTTTTCTTATTCTTATTTATTTACAGGTTTGGACGAATGCAGATGGTTTCTCTGATCAGCAAGGCGTTAGCTCTACGGGTTGATATGGTAAGTTCTTTAGCATAAAGATATGCTTACTATCCCAATACATATATCTACATATGCAGTCTGTAATCTTCTGTTCATTTCCATTCAAGTCCATTGCTATTTGCTCTTGATTCCAATGTAGTTCATATATACGTATGTACATATATTTCCTTATAGTGAAACACAGTGCACGCTGTGTTTGTATATTTTCCCCAGGGTTCCTTCTTTTTTTCTGCAGCCGACAATTGAACACAGCGAATAAAGGAGATTTCAGCCAAGTTGCGGTCGCAGGAGAGTTCTGTTTATGGCTTTAATTAAGAGAGACTAGTCGAGGGAGTGCAGCAGCGGCTCATTAGCAGCAATTTGTTGGAGTGTGCGCCATGGCATTTGCAAGTCCATAGCTAGAAGTAGATCATTGAGGCGTGCATGTTTTATTGTTGAACTAAGCTAATTATGCATGGCAGACGGGTGTTATCTATCAAAGCGGCGAAGCCGAACAGCAACTGCATAAATCGTAAGGCTCAAATTGACATATGTGCTCACAATCAGTGAAAGCGTGTGAACTGAACTTGAGAAATTGCCACACACAAGAGACACAACGGACGACAGACAGCAGACGACGACAAGAAAAATAAATAAATAAATAACCGCAGGTAAACAAGAGCAAAGCCTAGACTCTGGCCCGCCGTTGCTTATGCATATGCAAAGAAGGCTCGGTGTGTGCGCGCGACGGGGGGAGGTGTAGAGCAGGGCTGGCGACACACATAAATCTATATAATGCTCACACATGAGAATGTTGTATGTTGTATTGGCAGTTGCCGCTGTTGCCGCTGTTGCCGTCTGCCAACTGCTGCCGGGCTACACAGCATTTCCCATATCAGTTGACAATTTGTCAACTTCTGGCGACTTGAATGACATTCCCTATAGATACACTGCAAACAATGGGTACAAATAACGCAAAATTCGCCTCTCCAATTCACGAAGTGCACAACAGCCGTCGGCTTGGCTCTGCGCCCTCAATTTCCAACAAGAACAATGAAGGCCGAGGAATGCCAGAGTAGACTACATTACTTAACAAATTTTGATCAAGTTGTTCGACTGCTGCCAAAGGCTTCCTTATCAAGCGCCACAACTGCTGCAAGTCTCTATCTATGTGTATTTAGTAGATATTGAAGGTCTGTGAGTCAGCGCTGGGTATTATTATACCATCTGGTTACTAATAAGTCATCAATTTAAGTGAGATTAAGGGTGTTGGCTTAGGTCGTTAGTCTGAGAGACTATGGGTCAATCAGACCAACATTTATTTTGAATTTGAATTTCCTTTTGTATATGGCAAGCAAATTTCATTTTAATTCGAGTTTTATTGTTATTATTACTTTATGAGTTGTGACTTTCGAATAAACTAAATCTTAGAAAGGCAAAAAGTTCTCAGACTTGCAACCTTGACCAATCAGTGGAAACCTGCTCTGCGAGCTTTTATGGGGCTTTATCAATCAAAGAGGCAAATGATAAGCTCTGGAGTGAACATAAACCAAACGTATTTTATGGCCTCAGCAGGAGCAGCTATAAGGCCAAACATTCGGTAGTTAGATTCTGTTGCTCGGCTTGTACCAGCTCTCTAAGACCTGGTCTATAAATCCGCAACTATTACTTATCAGCTGTTGGCATCGGCAGCAGCTCCTGTGCCCTGTGCGCGGAGATAAATGTGCCCGCGAAAACTTTGACAAGCGATTAACTTTACAATTTATCGCTTAGTCTCCAGAAAAAAAGAAATAAAATAAAATAAGAAGCATCAATTGAAGGCAGCGCCAGAGTCGAGCTGCCAATTGTCGTAAATCTTTTGCATCCCGATTCCAGTTTTGTTGCTGGCTGCTGGCTGGGATCTGGCTTTATGTTGCATCATTAATTTAACTAGTTGTGGAACATGCGCCTGGGTCAGCGCCTTTAAAATACACGCCCTGATTAAAACATCAGCCCGGCTAACTAAGTTGTCTGCAACGGGGCAAACCTGCTCCAGCTCCAGCTCCAGCGTCCAGTATTTATTTATGCTTGTTTAAACATATTTAATGTCATTACGGGTGCAACCAGGACCAACACGCATTTAATTATGCGCCCTGCGCAGTAAATTAATGAACACTTTTATCAGCGTGCCACGGCCAGACTCCAGAGTGAGATCGAGAGAGAGAGAGAGAGAGAGCGAGAGAGAGAGAGAGAGAGATACAAGTTTTCGTTTGTTGGCACCACGCAGAATCAAGTAGCTGTTCCAATATATTTATTGCAGCGTCTCCTTGTTCTCCTGTTGTTGTTGTTGTTGTTTGCTGTCTTCGTCGCCTTTTGCCGCGTTTTAATCGCATTTAATATATCATTTTATTAAGCCAATCGGCTGGCTGGCTGACTGGGTGACTGGGCTCTTGGCTGGCTGGAGTCATCTTCGCTGCGGCGGCTCGATGTCTTCTTTGGCTGCTTAGCGTCTGGGTTGTCAATTTGCGTAATGCTGTCATAAGGCTGTCAGTTTATCATGCGCTCGCTGGGCAACTCGCTTTATATTCATTCATTTAAGCAATGACTTTAAGCGGCGCCTGTGGCGACATCTGACGACACCCAGGCAAATGCAATGCTCTGCGCCTCTGACAGCTAGTTGAAACTGAGCTATGTCTGGCATTTAATTGTGGCATGTGTGGCAAGTTCCGAGTAACAGCAACTGTGTCTGCAGCTGCAAGACTGCAAAACTGCAAAACTGCAAAGCAGCAAACAACATTCCATTCGCTCAAGCCGATCCAGCTAACCGGGCCGATTGTCAAATGCTATCCAACTAGCCACCCTACGAGCCAACTCTTTTGCCTGTTGCCAATTGCCTGCTGACTGTGGACTGCTGCCTGTAAATGCGCCTCGGGCTGAAGCAGGCTCACAAACAGGCCCAGCTAGAGTTAGTCAGCCTTCGACTTATTGTGGCAGCTATTTATGTTATTTTTTTTTCTCTTCATTTGTTTGTTTCCTGCCCATAATGTAAAGCCAGAGCATTAGCTCTATTTAATGACGGCAAAGTGCTTTCGTATAGCATAAATCAGTGCTCAAAAAAGAGCAACAGATAAATAACAAACGATTGCAATTGATGGCTTTCCTTTGACAATTGGCAATTGGCAGTGAATAGACATGTTGAGGAAATGATTTATAGATTTGTAGACATGCATAATTTAAGTAAAGTAAATTAGTAAAAAAAGAATATATATGTATGCCTTCTCTTTAAGCAACCCTCGCGCATGCCAACTGCTATAGTTGACATCAACATGAATTCCATTGATACTTATGTCGCATGTATTATGTTCTCCTCTGCTTGCAGAATGAAATGTGCCTGAATCGAAGCCGACTGCATCCTGAACTTGTCAATCATGGAACTGATCTGCATATTGGCTGGAAGGCTAGCGCACGCTTCCTGTTGGGTAAGTTGATACTCAGCAGCGACTAGAGGCAGCTAAGGCTGGCAGACCAGATTGATGTTTAGTCAGAGAGCGAGAGAGAGAGAGAGAGAGAGAGAGAGGAACAATGCCAACTCTTTGACAAAGATAGATTCAAACATAAACTCATCTAGTCGACCCCGTCAGAGTATGGACCTGACCTCTGCTGGCTGCCAAGACTAATTTATCAAATGGTTCAAGGGTGGCCCATCAAAGCCACACGAGCTGTTGCATAATTAGGGGGGAAAACACAGAAAACAGAGAACAGAAAAAAAACTGAAACAAAAAAATACAAATGCGTTTTTAAACCATTGAGCAACGCCTCTTTCTAACAGTTTTCTGTTATTAGTTTGGGTTTCCATTCGCTTTTTTCTTTCAGAAATTTTTGTTTGATTTTTGTTAATTGCCGCTTACTATTCTTGGAGCCATTTGGCCATGTTGGCGAGTGGGTTTAATGGTCTCATACAGAACTAAAATTCTAATTAACAAAATATTTAAGAAAACGAATAAAACAAAAAACAGTTTGTTAAAACCAGAAAAAAAAATATATAAAAGAAACTATTTTGGGCATTGTAAGATCGTCAAAGCAATTAATCATAAAAAGATACAGAAACAGAAACAGAGTCTCTGAGGAATCTCTACTTTGTTGAGCTGCTAACAAAGCCTATGCTTTGTGTTTCTGTTTTAGGAATGCTCATAGTGCCAAGTCGTAGAATATCAGCCAAGTTAACGTTGACGTTAACGTTACCTGCAGTTGAATAAGCAGTTGGATCAGTTTTCGACAGATAAATTAAGTAATAAATCATTTTGTTTGCAGAGCTATCAAAGGAGCCGCTCAAAATCATTCGAAATTAATTAATACTCATAATAAAACTATAATTAAACCAAAGACAGGCGACAAAACTGAAAAAGAATAGTTAGGAGTCTTCTAGATCCAAAGGAGAGAGAGAGAGTAGAGAGTGAGAGGGAGGTATAAAGGGAGAGCGAGAGAAAGAGAGAGATAGAGGCTGTACGAGGTATATTTATCTTTTTCAACTGAAATGCTAACAAGTCCAGAGTCGAAAGTGGCGTCGTGGCCGGGGCAAGATATCGCATGTGATTGAAATGAAATATAAAATTACATTAAATTACCGGATGTAATTGCGGTGGTCGTGCCAGTCGCTCACAGCCCGCTCAGTAGCTGGCTCAGAGCTAGCCTCTTACGCTGCCCAATGAATCATGGCCAAAACAAAATGCGTCGCAATTGTTGCCAGAGCCAGAGCCAGAGCTAGCCAGCTAGCCAGTCAGCCAGGCAAATAGACTCAAGCAACGAACTTGAAGCACTTGGTGTGGGCGCACGCTCTCATGACCAAAAACAAGAAGCAAACAACAACAACAACAACAACACCAACAGCAACAATCGAAACAAAAAGGCAGGCTACCCACGCTACATTCAAGACGAAAAATTGTAAATGAGGATCGGCTGGAAGTCCATTGACTTCTCGTTTCGAGTATCTTATCAGAGCCAAACGATTTTGTCAAATGACAACTGCGGCACATTAAATGCGTCTTTTTCACGCCACACGACATTTTCAATGTGCATTTAGTTGTCAATTATTTTTGATAGCCTGCCGAGTGCGCATGCCATGATAAGAGCTCATGCGAGCCCGGCTTACGGCCCGGCTCCTGCTCTCGCTGCGATCTGGCTCTGTGCCGAGTGCAGGCCATTTGCATAGTGAGCGCTTGTTCGCCTCGGTCCTCAGGCTCAGATATGGCAAAAGAGTTTTTATTTAGCTGCGCGTTCTCGCATCGGGACGTTTCGTTTTTGTTAGCAACTTTCCATATGGCAAACAGGCAGCTGGCATAACTGTTCCTCGACACAAATGTCACAAATCATAGATATATTGTTGTTGTTCTCAGCTAACGTACGCGTAATTTATGGCTTTGAATGAGCGCAACGTGTTTGTGGTAGAAGATTTTGGCTAAAAGATTCGTCACGAATTCGCAATTGTTTAGCTTTCTCATGATAAAAGTGAATTTAATTGAAGAATTCCATAAAATAAACTAAATTAAAGCTCCCCTAATGAGTTTTTGTGTGGTATAGACGGACGAAATGATGGCAATGAGAAGGATCTATAACAAAATAAATGAGAGTCAGCTTAATATACGGAATACTTTACGTTGATCCAAAGCTGTTTCATCAGTTTCTAAGCAATCTACTTGGGGATTTTAGCTTCAGATCTAAAACACACTATGGTTAGCTCATAATAACTGCTGGAAGGCAATCATATCTTGTTTAATTACTCCACCTGACTGAAAGCTACTCCAAATAAATTCATATCATGGCTGAATGTAATTTGTGAAACTACTTTATACGTTGCCTAGCTAACCCATATGAAATACTGAGTACTGAGTATTGCTCGTGTCCATATTGCTATGCGATTTCGTTGAAAACAATTTGCGCAAAAAATAAGGAATTGGGAAAAAATGAAGTTTGCAGTGCATATGCCACGCACGTAGCAACAACATCAACGACTGTGCAACAACAATCAGACAATCATGCACATAATCATGCCATCAATACATTATATATACATATATATATGTATATATATATGGCAATTATCAATGAAATTTATAACAATCCACGAAATGTAACGAAAACATAACCGACCAATAAAAATTTCATTTTCATAAGCTTGCAGCAGCAACAACAACAACAACAACAACAGCAACAACAGCAGCAAGGAATGAAAAAGGAATCGGGCCGGGCATGGATGGGGGGCATGCTGCCATTGCAGCTGCATTTAATGTGAATGCCGCGTGCTGTGTCCAGTTCGTCATACTCAGCATTTTGATGTTGTTGCTGTTGCTGATTTTGCTGCCTGTGATCTGCATCATAAAAACGTGCCAGATTGATGCGTGATTGAAATGCCAATTGGCTTTGAGTCCAGAGTTGTGGCCAAACCTGAAGTTGCCTCGTTAATGTGGTTGTTGTTTGTGGATTGCTCTCGAATATATATACATGTATATGTATGTATATGTACATTTATGTATAGTTGGACTCGAACAGCGTGTATTCTTACCGTTAAGACTGCGTAAGGGGCTTCTTTAATCGTGTCTTCAATCTCATCTCATTTCTCTCTTTTCTACCTGCCCCTGTTTGCATTGTCATTGCAGACAATTAGAACTGGTCTCTGATTCCGTGCGGCATTTGACTGCAATTTGCTTAAAAAGGCCGCTAGATAAACGATAAACAGTTGTTACTGTTACCTTTGGCCATATACGACCGACCACATATCTATGTATATGTACATACATATATACAACGAATTTCCGACGCTTACCGTTCAATTCCTCTGCCATGACATGGTCAAGACCATGACTAGTTTTTCTCTACGTTTCTCATTTCTTGTTTTATCTTCTACTGCTACTCTTTAGTAACGGGTTATATCATAATGCTACAGAGCTTGCCAAGCCTGCAGCTAATAGAAGCTATTATAATCTGTTCTAGCTATCTATCAATATCACTTAAATATATATATTATATATATTCATATTTTATTTGAATTTAATTTACTGATTTGAAAAGTTGAATTCAATTAAAATTCAAGAACTTTTCCAAATGCTTAAAGATATATTTGTACACTTGAAGCATATTTTCATGAAGGATTACTGTTTTTAAATATCAGCCTGCATGCATATTTGCAGTGTATATTAGATTCGTGAACATATACGAGCGTTTTCTTTGAAGCATTTCTATTAATATTTATGGGTTTGTCGTTGAAGCCTTTGCTTTGGCCGTGATGAATGAGTGTGCTGAGGCAGCTGCAGATCTTCGCAACAGCAACTGGCGCCAGTGAACGGCGACAGGCAGTAAAGTGCTGGCCATGTAGGGCATAGACAACTCAACGGACCGATCAAGCAGAGCAAGAGCAAGAGAGAGAGACAGGGAGAGAGGGAGAGAGACACACAGAGAAGTAGAATAGTGGGGAAGTTGGACAACCTAGTAAGTATCAATGAGAGGCAGCGGACTACAAATGACTCTTATCTCTTGCTGGCAACAAATTGACCATTTCAATTAATGAAAAACGCACTTAAACATTAAAGAGATGCTCGGACAGCCGGACAGTCGGACAGCGGGACTTCGGCATCAAGTGTTGGCGCTAATGATGCGATGAGATGCGCGCGCGGATGCGAAAATCGTACGGCGTGCGTTGAAGCGGCAGTGGCCAGAGAACCAGACGAAGAGCGAGAGAGGGAGAGAGATGTAAAAACAGACACCGCTCACATTTGCATATTTTGTTGTCGGTTTGGCTGACGATGATTATTGCTGGGGCCAGAGATTAAGCGCGTAAATTTGTCGTTAAAAATCATGTTGAGATCGTGATGCGGCCAGGCAGGGGCCAGCAGCGCCGGCGTAGACAGAGACACGCGATTTCGCTGCAAACCCGGCCAAAACAGCAGCCGTTGATTTTTAACTGTTTTATTTTCCTTTTGCGTTTTTGTTGTTTTTGGTATTTATTTGCTTGGCTGTTGATTTGATTGCAGCGCTTTTTGATTGATGGCTGTCGCCTCGCGCTGCATGCCCGGCATGTCAATGAGCCTGGCTAGCTACCTAACTGACTGACTGACACACTGATTTACCGTTGCATGATAAGCAGCGTGCGCAAACCAAAAGCACAAAAACAAAAAAACGAGTGAAAAAACAGAGAAGTGGCAATTACATGAAGTGGAGCAGCATTCGGCATTTCGACATTTGCATAAATTGGTCGCAACGAAATGAAAGACTTAGGCAACAAACTTGATTACAATTTGCCATCTCGTCGCGTCGCGTCGCGTCGCTTTCTTCGTGACTAATTTGAGTCTACGTTTTTTCCCAAGAGTTAAAGTTGAAGTTTGCTGTCAGAGGCCAAAGGTTATTTGTAATTCGTTTTCGATGTTACAATTTGGTTGCATTAACTCAATTAGCCTGTCCGAGACGTCGCGTCGCGTCGCGTCACCGATCTCCATTTTCCCCGAGAATCATTTGAAATGCACCAGTTAATTAGTTCGCCAAGCACGATGATCTTTTTTAATTGGATTTTCTGCATTTCTTTTCTTGTGATTTCATTCCACACGTATCGTCTCTTCTTTCCCAAATTGAATCGCAGTTGTATGCAGCACGCAGCGGCAAAGCCACAAAACGATTTTCACAGCGAATTATGAGGCCAACCGCAGCGC